GGGACCCTGCACTTTCTGAAGAAGGGTCCCGACCCGAAATGTCAGCTCTCCCGCTCCTCTGATGCTGCCTGGCCTGCTGTGTTCATCCAGCTCCACACTGTGTTATCTCAGCAAACTTTATGTGTCCCAGTGGAGACCAGCTTCTACCCCCAGCTCATGCTCTACGCCAGGCCAGCGCCCTACACTAGTCAGCCCCAGCATGAATTCGCAGAAGTGACACAGGGGTGGAAGGAATCCTAAATTCTGGAATTCCCTTACTAACTCTCTCCCTATCTGCACCATTTCCACTTTACTTTTGACATTCTCACTCTCTCTGACTAAGTCTTCACTCGTCCTCATGTCACCCTAATGGGCGGACAAATCATTCGCCCAAAAGACAATCCCGTAAAGTGCCATGGAATGCTTTCGTTAATAAAGCTGCTACGTGGATGCAAGTCCACATCAGCGACAGACCTGAAGGGAAAGTGAAATTTCCCAGTCCAGCCTTCTGAAAGGGGAAACTTCACATGGAAATAACCAGGTTTAAGGATGAGGCACTTTGCAAGGGCAGCACAGATTCTCTGAGATTTATTCGTTTTCGCTGTTTTAAAAAGTCTTTCTAAATGATGTCACTCGTTGAAGAGGAGTTTTCACATCCTTGAGACAGTGACTCATCCCAAAGTTGGTTTTAGTAAGAGTTTCGGTGAGCAAACTCAGGTGTTGCAGACAACATTGTAGGTTACTATCACACAAGCTGCCAGTCTGCTCACCTTAAAAAGTCTCTGTAAATAAAGTTATATTTTTGAAGTGGTTTGTGTGACAAAGACTCAGAAGGGAGAGAGAGAGAGAGACACACACACACAGAGAGGGGCATGTCTGAACTTGTCTAGCAAGGCACAATGCAGTAGGAGCTGAAACACCAACTGAAAGCCACCTGAAGTCACTCTTAACATCCCCTCTCCTCCTGAAGAGACCCAAATTGGGCTGGACAAGCAGACTTCTAGGAATGGCCACTGCCTACCAGGACCCCGAATATGGGCGAGATGTTCGGCCATGAGAGATATCACAGCCAGAAGAGCTGAAAGGGGCATCTACATCTCCTTGGGTGGTACTCCAGGCGAGTGTGCCACTCCTCATCCAGTGGAGAACCAGGCTGAGCTGACGACATGGTTAAAGGTTCCATCCCTGCACCCACCTCCCCCCCGCCACCCCTTGTGTTTGGGGTAGTCCAGCTGGAAAGGGAAGGGGCAGTGATCACTTGGGGTTCACACCATCTGGTGAATCCTGCTGAAATTTCTAGTGAGGACATTGGTCTAAGGAGCAGTTTTGGCAAACCTGCGCCGCCTTTCACAGCCAAACAGCTGCCTGCCACACTGATGAGATTTCTGTGGAATCCATACTGTTACTTCCTCCGCTCACCTCCCAACAAAAAGGGAGGTCATCTTCGCACCTCACCCCCTCCATCTAGCATAACCAGGCATGAGACAAGGCTTTGGTGGCTATTTGACTACAGGAAGAATTGCAACCTCCTATGGTTAAACAGCAGGTTCACAGTAAAGAAAGGCAGCCACTGTGAAACCAAATCACTGGGGTTAGAGATGTCCCACACAGCAGTCCTTCAGCACCAGCCGAGAGAGAGGGAGAGGGAGAGGGAGAAAACAGGATGTCTAAAAGATACTGGGTAATTTAGAGTCTTACCGGCAAATGTGCTGCTGGTGGTCGCATTCATCCCACAGGTGAGCTGACCCCTGCAGCCTGAAGCTGTCACTGAGCAGTTACTGTATTCTGCCTGGCGCCTGACAGAATGGGCACAAACAAGGGGCAAAGGTGAATATTGACCAGAGGTGCTGGCAATGCAGTTAGTGAGGCTCGACTGGACTTCCCTCGGAATGTGTTCCTGCGTGTGAGCATCAGACGAGTTTCCGTCATCAAATGGTTTGGCCATGCTTGCTAAACACCTGCTGGAAAACAAATGGCACAGCTTAATGCTGGCGAGGCCTGCATTTATATAGCGCCTTTCACAACCTCAGGTGGTCATCAATTTCACATCAACTATGTACTGAGTGTAATGAGGTTGAATTTTGGATAATGCAATGACCAATTCGTGCCCCATAAGTTCTTCACAGAATCCCTACAGTGTTGAAGCTGGCCATTCAGCCCATCAAGTTCACATCGACCCTCTGAGGAGCATCCCAACCAAACCCTGCATTTCCCATGGCCACCCCACCCAGCCTGCACATCCCTCGACACTATGGGGCAATTTAGCATGGCCAATCCACCCTAACCTGCCCATCTTCAGACTGATGTGGAGGTGCCAGTGTTGGACTGGGGTGAACAAGGCCAGAAATCACACGACACCAGGTTATAGTCCAACAGGTTTATTTGACAACACAAGGTTTTGGAGTCTCACTCCTTCTTCAGGTGTGGGAGGAAATGCACGCAGACACGGGGAGAATGTGCAAACTCCACACAGACAGTTGCCCGAAGGTGGAATCAAACCCAGGTCCCTGGTGCTGTGAGGCAGCAGTGCTAACCACTGAGCCACCATGCCACCCTTTGCTTTAACATTATCAGTTGTGGGTTAAACTATTGGCCTGAATACTGGGGAGGACTCTGCGATTTTCTTTCAATAAATAGCACTTTTGCACCTTTTATATCCACTTGAGGAGATGAACAGAGCCTCTGTTAAATGTCACTTCCAAAATGGGATCCTACAAATAGTGCATCATTCCCTCAGTACTGCACCTGTCTGCATTAAATACTCAAGTTTCTGGAACAGGATCAGAACTCACAATCTTCAAAGCGAGAGAGAAAGCTACCCACTAGGCCACAGGATGCCCACACGCCACTTGCTGCAGGCAACGAAAGGCAACTCACTTTCTCAACTTAAAAGGACTGTGTTTTTGCTGTGAACTGTTCCCCCAAAAGGGAACTCCCTTGCGTAACATCAGCGTACAAAGTGTTCTTAATCTCTGTGAAGCATTGGGGAGTGATGACAAACAAAGTTGTAGCCTCCAGGCTTCTGTTGCATATCTTCAACCAAAGGCAGCCTCTCCCCTTAATGGCCGCGGTTTCTGTATGGCCACTGTGGCAAAAGTGAGATTCGCTTAAATAGGGTACCTATCTCACCCTCGCTATTATCTGCCACCTTCTCACAAATTGCCCCCCTAGTCCACAGCTGGATTCCTTTGGAAATGCTATCCCCACAGAGTATTCCTTGCGATGGACTTCGACTGTGTCTGGAGAGCTGGCTATTCGACTATGAAAAGCACTGCTCCTCTTGACTCGAGCTGCCTGGGTGGCGTGGGGGGAGGTTCAGGCTCCTACACAGAACCCGTGGCAGATATACCCCACCCCCTCAAGAAGCAGGAGAGATCAGAATCTGAAATCAGGATGTTGCAGAGTCCATCACTGCGGGGGGGGGGGGATATTGAGCAGAGGGGATGCAGAATGAAGGAAATGGCAAAAAGGCAAAAGAACCAAAGGTGACACGAGAAAGGAAACGTACGCAGCGAGTTGTTTGTGCTGCCTGAAAGGACGGTCAAAAACGGTGAAAAGGGAATGAAATACACATGTGAAAAGTTGCAAACAATGTTGAGAGAGAGGAGGGCAGTGGAATTAATTGTAGCTCTTTCAAAGAGCCAGCACAGTCAGATGGACCAAATGGGCCTTCTGTTTTGTATCAATCTATGCCACATCTAATTTGTCACAAAATTAAACTTACAAAAGTGAGCAGATTAATTTTATTTTGCATTTAGGGCTGCCAGGGTGTTATTACCACTAGCAGCAAAATGCAACTCCCCCTGTTTACGATTCCAAATTCAAATCTCAGTCATGACAAAACTGAACTTCCTCTTTGACAATTTAAATAAGGATTAGAGCTGGGATTATGCAAGTGGTTTAGATAAACAAACAGAGCTGCAACAGTACCCGCACCTTAGTGTTTCAGCTACCAACTCCCTCATGGAGGGGCTGCTTCAAACAAAGTTCCCGCTCGCTCAGTGGTGTTTAATCTGGGTTCAAACCCCGACCTGAGCTCAATTAGCCGATGCCGGTAGACAGCTGGGAGGAGGAAGGTGAGTAGGGCTGAGCCTTCTAATCACAAGGAGGTGAGCGTGATGCCCCCTGCAGTTGAATAGCTAGCTGACAATAGCTTGGGCCTGGTCAGCTCAGAAGTGGAATGGAATGAGGGGGCATTAGGGAATGAAATGTCTAAAACTAGAGGCAGGGGGGGCATTTCAGGTGAGAACAGGAAAGTTCAAAGGACATGTGAGGGACACATTTTTTTTACACAGAGTGGTAGGAGCGTGGAACCCACTGCCAAGGGAGGAGGCAGACACGATAGGGGCATTTAAGGGACTTTTAGATTTTTTTTCCCTTTATTCATTAATGGGATGAGGGCATCACTGGCTAGGCAGCATTTATTGCCCCATCCCTAATTGCCCAGAGGGCGGTTGAGAGTCAAACCACATTGCTATGGGTCTGGAGTCACATGTAGGCCAGACCAGGTGAGGATGGCAGTTTCCTTCCCTAAAGAACATTAGTGAACCAGATGGGTTTTTCCCAACAATCGGCAAGGATTCATGGTCATCGTTAGCTTCTTAATTCTAGATATTTTATTGAATTCAAATTCCATCATTTGCCGTAGTGGGAATTCGAACCCCTGTCCCCAGAATGTTATCTGGTTCTCTGGATTAAAAGTCCAGCAATAATATCGCTAGGCCATCACCTCCCCGGCTAAGCATATGAGTATGCAAGGAATGCAGGGATATGGACCAAGGGCAGGTAGAAGGGATTAGTTTCATTTGGCGGAGATAGCAGGAACTGCAGATGCTGGAGAATCTGAGATAACAAGGTGTAGAGCTGGATGAACACAGCAGGCCAAGCAGCATCAGAGGAGCAGGAAGGCTGACATTTCGGGCCTAGACCCCTTCTTCAGAAATTCCTTTGGCATCATGTTCGGCACAACATCGTGGGCTGAAGGGCCTGTTCCTGTGCTGTACTCTTCTAACAGGTAGGTATCAGCTGCCGAGGTTGGAAGCTGCAAGCCAAACGAGGGGCAAGGTGGGAGGGTGGAAGGGGCATGCATTTCCCTTTAAAGGGGGGTGGGGAGTTGCTGGTGTGGGGAGGAGGCATGGCATGCTGCAGATCCCGCAGCAGCCCATAGTGGGCGCCCTCCTTCCCCTCGGCCACTCCCTGGGCTGCGGGTTGTTTGCAAACAACAGCTCACCACATGTGGGGAACACTTAAAGCGGCATTACAAAACAACAACAAAAAAGCTACGTATAGTTCATTCAAAATGCCAGCAAGGCGTCAAAAGATGTGATGTTTCCACCAGATTTCTGACCGGTTCATTTCTTAAAAATGACAAAGGAAAAAGAAAGCAAACAAGACCAAAATAAAATAAAATCAAGCGTGGGAGAATTAATTCCAGCCAACTTTTTAAAATGTGATCACAGTGGAAAGGCCGAAGAATGAATGACTCTTGATACTTTTGTTTTTCCTAACGGTCATTTTATTTTTAGAAGAAAAAAAAAATTAAAGGCACAGGAGAGGGAGAGAAATAAAGGGGCATTATCGCTTTAAAATTCAGATTCTCACGCCGAGGCATGACATGACGTGCTAAGAGTTTGGGATACGAATGAATATCGTCAAAAATATTGACATTTGAGAAGGAAAATCATTTGGTGTAAAGCCTTTAGCTTATTGCAACTATATAACAGAGATTAGAAATTCGGACACTTAATTAAAACATAACACTGTAACCGAACGCTGAGCAGTTATTCAACTTAAATTTCTACCAATCTAAATATTCCCATTAATTTTGCATATTCCCAATTCTGACTTCAGACAATCGCACGAACATTAACTGCAAGGAATTATCAATCGGGAATAAACTGTGAGCGAGCCTCTCCAATCATGAAAGTAACATTGTGACTAACAGTATCCGAGGCTGCAATGGACAAAACAAAATAATCCATTTCACATCACGCTGAAACTCACCTGCGATCGGCTCCACTTTTAAAACACCATTGTCCAGACACACAGCCCTGTGTTTCCAGCCGTCACTTTTCAGAGGAGATTGTTGGAAAGAGGGGAAAACAAGTGAGTGTACATTTAAAATCTTAATCGCGTCAAGACAACATTCACTTTCAGTGCAATTTCAGGGAAGCGCTGATTCACTGAAACCTACCAAGAGGCAAAGTCCTGTGCACTAAATAAAACCCAAAATCCCTTCCCCTTTAGGACGTTTTTCTGGGGATTGAGGATTTTAGATATAAATTATCGCAGTTTCTCCTCTCTCTCTGAGCTGCTCAGATGCAGTGAGTCATTCAGAGTCCATGTAAAAACCCAAACTGAATTCTCACTCAGCCTGCCCTGTGTCACACACTGAGCCTGACGTAACGCCTTGTCTGACAAGTTAGGGCTTGTTACAAAGTGGGAGATTCCCCTCTTAAAGGGCTAGCGTCCCGTCAAACACAGTATTCTCCTTTCTCCTTTCCTCCAGCCCCACCCCCACCAACACCTCCCTCACGGCCAACTCTGTGCAAGCCACATTACCACCACCACCCTATTCCCCCCACCACCATTTTATTTTTATGAGGGGTCTCTTGCTGCACTGCGGTAGCATCCCTACCTCTGAGCCAGAAGGGTTTGGGTTGAAGTTCCACCTGCTCAAGGGGTGTGGTGGCTCAGTGCTCAGTTAGCACTGCTGCCTCACAGTGCCAGGGACCTGGGTTCTATTTCCCCCTCAGGCAAATGTCCTGGTGGAGTCTGTACGTTCTCCCCGTGTCTGTGCGGGTTCCCTCCAGGTGCTCTGGTTTATCTCCCACAGTCCAAAGATGTGCAGGTTAGGGTGAATTGGCCATGCTAAATTGTCCCATAGTGCAGGCTAGATGGGTTAGCCATGGGGGAATGCAAATTTATAGGGTAGGGTGATGGTCTAGCTGGGGTACTGTTCAAACAGTCAGTATGGATTTGATGGGCTGAATGGCCTGCTTCCACACTGCAGGGATTCTGAGATGTGTCATAATGTCTCTGAACATGGTGATTTGGAAAAATAATCTTTGGGTGACTTCTGCAGCTCAGAGGGATTTTGCTGTAGGGGCCCTCACTGTTGCATTCTCAATCCCACTTCCACAAACAGACAGCTTGCTAGTGCCCTTAAAGGTTTGCTGAAATGAATGCAGAGAGCATTCAACCAGTTTACCCACCACCAGCCTGTCTCCCAGTGCTGCAAGGAAAGAGAGTAGAAGCCAACACAGATACATTTATTTATTTATTCCCACGGACTGTGATTGCTGAGCCTGAGCTGAGTGCATGGACTGAATTGATTGTCTTGTTGCCTGGGTGAAAGTTCCTTTGGAGGTGAATCAAAGTTAGGATATGATACAGAGACCTTCAGAGAGATAGCCCATTCATATTGCACATCCTGTTTACAATTCCTTCAATCAGCTTTGAAATTGACCCCGTTCCCATCTAATTCCCTACTGAAGGTATCAGAGATAGTAGGAACTGCAGATGCTGGAGCAT